TCTTGCGAACAACCGCTCGTCTCAGGGCATTGTTCTTGGCACGGCGCTGCGTTTGGGCGAGCCTCGGGCGTGTGTGTGTGTGTGAGTTCACGCAGACTCGATGCTGTCAGCCGCGGCCGAGGCGGCGGCAGTCCCACCACTCGTCGCCTTTGTTAGCCGTGGGACAGCGCGAGTGGAAGCGGCCGCGGACGCGGAGAGCAGGCCTCATCCCAGAGCGCGGCAGTCCCGCGCGCGGCGGGCGCTGCAGTCTCCGGTGCCGCACTCCGCCTCAGGGCATTCGCATAGGCTGTGCCGCACGTCAGGTAACTTCAACGCGTCAATGCGCGCCAGCATCAATGCCATTCGGCTGTTGCATCACAAACCCGCGTCCGCGACGAAAATACCGCGCGGCGGCGGGGCCGGCGCAGCCGCTGCGAGCAGGGCGCGCGGGCGGCGCGGGCGCGTCCGGCCGCCTCCCACATACTATGAATAAATTAAGCCCATACATCTGCGGGGTGCGTGGCGCGCGGATCGTGATGTTCTACACGGCGCGGCGTGCCGGCGCGCGATCGCGCCGTGTTTGGCGTGATTGCCGCGATGCTATCGTCGCCTGCAGACCGCGGTTGCGGCAAACGCGGCGGAGACTGCGCCGGCGGGGGCAGGCGCCCGGGGTCGGCCCCAGGTGCCAGCCGTCTAACTCGGCGCGGAAGCCCCGGCCCGCCGGCTTCCTGCTGCTCCTGGGATAACATGGGGCGGCGCGGCGGTCTAATGCGCCGGTTGCATGTCGGCAGCCACAACACGCCACCAGTAATGGGATTAGCGGCTAGCCGGCCATCTTACGGCTTCTGTTTAAGCCATTTAGACAAAACTGGGATTTCGGCTGGGCCCGCCGCCAAGAGAAATGACACTGTTGGCTCTGTAAATCGTCGAACTCGGCAAGGCTAATGTAATTCGGGTCGTAAAATAACCCTTCAGCTGGCCTTGGTCCAGCGCGTTTATGAACGAAAGCATAATATAGTTTTATTGCAAGGGCCTGGCTGTGGCGATGGTCGTCACCCAAGGTATATTGAGCACAGGCCGCGGCGGTCGGTCGCCGGGGCCGTTTTATTGGCTGTCATTCATCGCAGATGGCCTCCCGTCTCCGACCGCCCGGCTCCCGGCTCCCGACTAGAATCGCCAACGTCCGGGGCTGCAGATCCCCTCCCCTCCCCCCCCCCCCATCCCCCATCCAGCTGATCGAAGCTGGAGTGGCCCCTGTAGTGGCGTCCCAGGTTCGGCAGGGTGGGCCGGCTCGCCGCCGCCGCTGAGGCTGACTCGCCCTGGGGGCGGGGTTCAGTCTGTTCCACCTCAGTCACGAGCTGAGCGACACTGTCCGTTTCTCCGATGCCTTTGTCTCGCGGAGCTGACATCTGCTGGCGGGTCGTGGCCTGGCAGCGGGGCACGCTTCTCCGGACTGGCACCAGGAGCGGCGGCCTTACACCCTGACGCCGGGTCGTGGCCTGGCAGCGGGGCACGCTTCTCCGGACTGGCACCAGGAGCGGCGGCCTTACACCCTGACGCCGGGTCGTGGCAGGCCAAATCCCTGCCCACCTCGGTCATGACCGGGCCCGGCCGGCGGCGGCCGCCGGCGGCCGGGACCGCCGCGCCCGCAGCCCGAGAGCGCCGCGTGTATAAATCACGCGCGCCGCTCGGGCCCATGCATTCCAATGAGTGCGGCCGGCGGACGCGCCTCGCTGCAGACAGCGGCCGGACAGCCGCGCCCGTCCAGACGTGCCGCCGTCACGCCACTTCCGACCGCAAACAAATCCTTACCCGCCATAAATACGGGCGTTAATTAATGAACGTGGCGCGCGCGCGCCAGTCGTCCCGGTAACGTTTTGATAACAGGTTTAATGGCGCGCGGGCCCACCCTCGGCCGGCCCTCTCCCCTGACCGAGACATAGCGGGGCATTCCCGGCTGACGGCCGGTATTTGCTGTGACTTATGGGCCGGCCAGGGCCGCGCTCCGGCCGCCGGCGGGCCATTCCGATCGGCGCGCGGCCAGTATCATTTAACTCTTCACACGCTGCACGGGTGAGCGGCGGGGCGGGGCGGGGCGGGGCGGGCGGACAGCGCGGGCGGGCAGAGCGGGCACGCTCCCGCCGCCCAGGGCGGGCCGACCGGCCGCCCAGAGCGGGCACGCTCCCGCCGCCCAGAGCGGGCCGACCGGCCGCCGCTGCCCCGCGCCGCCCGGACGGAGCGCGGTGGGACGCCCAATGACAGCAGAATATGCCCCTTATGGCACTATCGCGCCCATGAGAATACATCTCCGTCCTCTCTGTTGTCACACAAAAATGTCGACGCGCGTCAGCCGACGGCGGACGGCCGCTCGCGCGGCTGGCTCGTGCGGCCGTCGCGCCGGTACGGAGCGTATGTACAGCGTCGCCGCGTGGGCGGACCGTTCAGCGTCCGTGCGCAATCGTCGTGGCCGCGCCGTTGCCACGGCGACGCGCCGGCGAGGGCGTTGCCTTCCACGCTGCACGCTCCCCATGTTGTCCGGTCCGGACTTTAACGACGGGCGTAAATCCATAATATCTGGCTCAATCGTACCTCTTCATCGCGGCCGGCGGTCAGACGGCGGTCGGTCCGGCATTCCGAATAAATCTGGCGGCGGCGGCGGTACGGTACCGCGCCGGGGCGGCGCGAGATCGCCCATCGACCGGCCGACCGGACAGGCTCGCGAGACGCTGCCCGCATCACCCGACACTAAACCCTCTCGATGGCTTTATGTCAGCGGCGAGCGGCGGCCGCCGGCTAAAGGCCCGGTCACCTAATTCAAGTTTACGACGGTCGCGACGTCTCAAAACCGGAGCCCGCGTCAGGACAGCCCATGAGCGCCCGGGGGGCGGCAGTCCGCAGCGTCGGCTGTTTCGAATCGGCTGCCGGCAGTGGTGAGTCGGCGGGGCCGGCTGGGGCCTGTGGCGGCGGCCGTGGAGTCGCGCTGCACCGCCGCCGCCACTGCCGCCGGCGACGCCGGCAAAGCCCACAATATCTGACACGGCCGGCGCAATCAATACGGCCGGCTTAGGTGGGACTTACGCCGCCTCAATGGCCGCCGCCGTCGCCGTCGGCAGCGTGCGACAGCTGAGCATAGCGCCGCGGCACCGACGGCAGTGGCGCCAGCGTGGGCAGCCGATGCTGTGAGGATGAGGTCCGACGGTAGGCTGCCCTGTCCTATATCCGCCGCCGCTCTTCGTCCGCCGTACATTCCACCACAGCTGTTGGAAAGACCGCGGCTCTTTCAGCGCTCTGAAGCCTTCTGATCGATCGGTGCTCCGTGCTCCGTGACGCCCCCCCCCCCCCCCCCCCCGCCGGCACGGCCCGGTCTATGGGGACGGACGCCCAGATGGAAATAGTACAGGCTCCATCGCCTAATTTCTCACTTTGATGGATTCGGCCGCAAACATTTTGCTGTGAGATGCTCTGGGTCTCCCGTCATCCCCGCAGGTGTGTTCGCGCCGCGGATGACCCCAGCCGCTCCAGCGTCGGGTCAGAGACGCGCCCCCGGCCGCCGCCTCGGCAACCGTGTGCTCCACCGCGCTGGCGATAAACGGGCGTGTTTACCGCGCCGCGCCGCCGCCGCCGCCGCCGCCGCCGCCGCGCTATGATAACTCGTCCTCGCTGCGGCAGGGCGGCCGGCGTAAATCGCCTTAGCCGGCCGCGGCGAGCCGCACACCTCCACCGCGCTTTGAGCGCCGGCCGCGCGCACCTAATACCGATTGTTCATTTCCCCCATTCAGCGCTTTGTCGGAATTTCAGTGTGACCCGGGTGGAGTGTTGTAATCATGACGCGATGGCGGCCGGGCTTAGCTGCGCGCCCGCTTGCCCGGTGACATCTTATTATTGTGTTTGTCCTCTGCGCTGGAGCGCACGGATCGGGGGCGGGATTCCTCGTCTCCACCGGCGCTGAGGGAGGGGATTGGACTGCGAGACGCAGGCGGATGATCCTCATCCCAGCCAGAGGCGCGAGACGGGCGAGGGTTTTCAGCGCCTGCGATGGCGGATTATTCGTGATGATATGAGTTGTGGGGCGAGGCTCTCGGTCGTCGTGTGAGAGATGAGAGGAATGATATATGTCTGCTTGGAGTCGCCTTATCGGGGGTTCGGGAAAAGATTTACGGCCTCCCAGGCAGCAGGGTCATGATCGTAAAGCTGATGGTGCACGAGGGTGCCTACGCCCATGCAGACTGAGAGTCTGTCGACTACGGGCTTATTGGCTTGTAACCCTACTGGCATGGGTATTTTGGTTTTTGTGCTGCCGCAGTAGCATTCGTACTTTGCTCCGCCTTTGCGTCAGTTACATACATCCCGTCTAAATCACTCCAAAGCCTCAGCACTGCTATGGACACGGCACGGTCCAGCCGGTGGCGCTACCCTCTTGACTGGACACTCCCGCTGTGCTGGTGGTGTCGGCACGTCGAGAGGTCCACGGGTCCGTCGCGGCTGGACGGCCGGCCGGCTATTTTTAACGCCGCACCAGATCGGTGACGACGCTCCGGCCGCGTTTGAAAACAGGTAGACCCATGAAAGCGGCCCGGAAAACATGACCCTGTCGAGGGTCCCGCGCGCCGGGCACAAAGGGTCTCCTCTTTGTCGGGTGGGCGGGCCGAACCTCCAAAACGAAACGAAACTCGCGTGTGCTCCTCCCCGGACAATGGGCCACCGAATCAAGGCGCTTTCAGCCGGCTGAATGGCCAGCAACGGCTGAATAGAATTTGATAGACTGGTCACAGTACTGAGTATTCGAACAAGATGCCATTGAGCGGCGGCCGGTCGGCGCCGGTCCAGCGAGTGCTCGGGTCGCACATGGTGTTTATTTTTCGTGCTGGCCGCGCGCGCGCCGCCGCCTCTTCCGTCACTCAGCTGTTGTCTGGAGCGGCGCCGGTCAGGTGGGGCGCGTCACCGCCGACAGCCGGCGCCATCGATACGAGCCGTCGCTGCCGCCACCGCCACAGCTGACCCCGCCTTCTGTGTTGTCGCAGGCGAGAAGCCGTTCCGATGCGAGTACGAGGGCTGCGACCGACGCTTCGCCAACAGCTCCGACCGCAAGAAGCACTCGCATGTGCACACGTCCGACAAGCCGTACAACTGCAAGGTGCGCGGCTGCGACAAGAGCTACACGCACCCCAGCTCGCTTCGCAAGCACATGAAGGTGCACGGCAAGGACGTCAGCGGCTACGACTCGGACTCGTCCTCGGCCACCAACGCGTCCACGCTGCGCTCGCCCACGTCGCTGACCTCGCCGCCGGCGGCCGTGACCTCGCTGACCTCGAGTCTGCAGCAGACCAACCTCAACGAGTGGTACATCTCGCAGAACGCCACCGGCATGCCGACGCCGCCCAGCAACGAGCACTCGCCGATCGGCGGCCATCCGCAGGCGCACCTGCTGCCCACCACGAGCGCGTACTGACCGCGCCGCGCGCCGTCCCTGTACAAACGCGCCGTTGTTTTGTTCGAGAGCTATCCGCAGTCTCAGGGCCGTGCTTGACACCGCGGAATACTCGCGCGCGACGCGGCGGACCGGGCGCGAGCTGGCTGTTGCCCTTGTGACGTCATGAGGATGTCAGTGACGTCACTGGGTTCGTTTGCGCTCCGAGATGCGCCGAGCACGCTGTCGCTTGCACCGTTTGTTCGCTGGGCTGCACTGACCGCACCGTCGGCGACGGCTCTCGCTCGTCACGCTGTCGTGCCATCTCTGCGTGCGTGACGCTACGCGTCTGCGCGCCAGTATCCGCGCTTTGTTTTTATCTCCTTAACAGTTTGCTTGTTCGTGTTGAATTTTGATATAACTGACGCCCCGACTGACTTGTTATCAAACCCCGTGCAATGTATGTACGGACGAGGCACCTCTGCCCGTGTAAACCCGTGCGCCTCGTGTAAACCCGTGCTCCCCGTGTAAACCCTGTGCGCGCTGCGTCGGCCACGCGTTCTGGCTACGAAAAGCTGGATATATTTTATGTGTGTGTTGTGACCGTGGACCGATCAGCTAGTTCAAGCGTGGGTCCGTATCGTGATGTACATTCTCATCTAGCATTGTCTGATCTCATGCGTTATAAACGAGTTACGACAACGACGCAGGCTTCACTGTACATTGTAAACAGTTCAAAGAACATTGCCTCTGAACATGCTGTGTACAGTAGATTTTATAATAAATGTATGTCGCTATTCTCAAATCTCTCCTGGGTTAGTAGGGATGTCAGCGTTTGGACCGAACTGCAACAAATGTCAGTGGAGCTCTGGACCGCCAGTTTTAGTGACACTTACGTTTTGAACCTATGCATTGCTTAGGCACACACGCCTTTTGCAATATGGTCGTATATTTGGTGGTGGCTGCTGGCTAGATTCACACCTTATAGGTTTGTGGATCTTTCAGTCCGTGAACTGCGGTTCATCATAGTAATTGCCATGGAGTATTTAACGTTGCGATCAATTTATGCCTTGCACACGAACATTTACGACCACTTGCGAGCACTACCCGTAATTGTCTTCGGAACGCTGATGGCGGAAGCATGGCGGCCAACGGGGCTGTAGCCAATGCGCTGTTAGCAGCCAGCACTCGCGATGTAGGTTGATGATGGGACCGTCCAACCTCCATCGCGACGGTGGGACTGTCCAACCTCCATCGCGACGTCCACCAATCACGCCATCACGAAAGCTGCTGGTAGGCAGAACAAACTCAATGTTCACCATAAGACGTTTGACATGGGCACAAGTGCCCACACCGGACCTTCTTGGCTTCTCCCTTGTGGTATTCTATGACTGTTTTTTAGTTTCACGGTCTTATCCCAGGTCATTTATGCTATCGTTTAGCTATTGGTCTGGAGTTATCAGCCTGCCTGTAAGACCACCCAACACTTCAACATGCCGCGTCTTTAACCCCAATCACAAGGGCTAACGCTGCCTATCAAAGCATTTTTAATTGCAACGGTCGGATTTTCTTATCAACCCGTTGAAATGTTGTCAACCTCATGATGAACTGTACCATATTACCGACTGCCTCTTGCACCTTGCAGCTTAAAGCTCTTGCAAAAATTGATCGCATGCCAAATAGTGTGAAAGCTTCACCTTTTCCCCGGCACACACGTCAAGCACTCCAACGCCTCGCGCCTTCTCAGCAGCCATTTGCCTGGATGTCGGGCCAGCACGGGCGCCGGACAGCAGGCGGTGCGACGGGGCAGCGCACGGCCGGCCGGCCCGCCGCCCGGCCGCGCCTCCTGTTACCTGCCACCGACGGATCTAGTTTTCCCGGGCCGCGCGGCCGCCGCTGAAAGGAGGGCCGCGCGGCCGGCATTGTCCGGCGCCCGCCGCCGCTGACGCCCACAATCGGACTCATCACTGCGCTCGCCGGGCACCGCGGCCGCTCGGCGCTCCACCGCCCCGGACGGCGGCCTCCATCTTCGGACCGGCAGCTGGCGGCGTCCAGTGAGGCAGGAATGCGTTCTGCTGAGATATCCGCTCATTTTGCGTAATTAATTCGTCGGTGCGCGGTTCACAGGCTGTCTCGCGGCCCACCGCCGTCGGAGTGGTCACCTGAGCGTCCATAAAACACCGCGCGACTTGTAAAGTGACACATAAAAATTCCAACCATCTCGCTCCCCCGCTCTCCCATGCGCCACGTCCGATTCTTAATTAGCATTCCGTGTTTGTGTGCGCTGGCCGGCGGCCCCACCGGACCGCCGCTCAAATGGGTTCTCCTTACCTGGCACGCGCTTCGCCTGCCTGCGTGTTTGTAGCGAATCTCGTCCAGGTATTTGTAATTGTAATTTTGGGTCCCATAGGGAGGAGACCGGCGTCGAGTGGAAGGCTTGTTTATGTGATTTGGAAGGCGTAATGGGGACAGCGAAGTGTGCTAATAATAGCCTTCTCTTCCCATTCTTCTTGGGTGCTTACCAAACCTGCAATTAAAACGTGTGCGGTAAATTCATCGTTTCAACTCATGCTTGGTTAAACCCCGGCAAATACCTTCCGTCGGAGTGTTTACATTTGTTCTGCCCCAACCCACTCCCATAAGAACCTCATAGTGCAGATGAATAATCCTAACCAGCCTGTCTGCGCATTTTGTTGGGAAGTCATGCCCTCATGCGTTTTTTTTCGATCTGGACAGCTTGCACGTGTCGGACGGATGGCAGGACGCACGCAGGATCAGTGCCTTGCCACGGGGTGAGACGTTTGCTATGAAGTAAGAAACTTCGTTGGCTCAACCTGACTTCATGGCTTATGTGGTGTCTCCCTTAGCCATGAACCGAGATTGGTGTGAATTTCATATCTACCTCATGATCTCGCGTGAGATATCTCCAATATTCGTTTCAATAGACCATGAACTTACATTGACGCACGCCGCGTGCCGTGTTGCCTTATGATGTCGCTGTCTCGACCTACTCCCAGCTCTTACCCCCTGGTCAGCCTGTTCCCACCTCAAATCTGCACAAGCCACAGCGTTTTCATTGAGCGTGGAGTGTGACGAGGCTTTCACCTCTGCTGTGGGTACGATGAGGCGACCTGCCGGGCGGCGGCGGTTTAATGTGCCCCCATCTCGTGCCACGGCCGTGTGAAGGCGTGGTCTGCCTGACCGTTGGCCCGCTGAGCCGCTCCCGGTGCATTCCTACTCCGGCCAGGAGGGCCCAGGACGTGGCCACCTCTCGCTCACTCGCTCTCTCTCCCCTCCCCCTTTCGTTCACTCATTCCCTCTCCCCTCACCCTCTCGCTCACTCGCTCTCTCTCCCCCCTCCCTTTCGTTCGCTCATTCCCTCTCCCCTCTCCCTCTCGGTCGCTGACTCCCTCTCCCCTCACCCTCTCGCTCACTCGCTCCCTCTCCCCTCTCCCTTTCGTTCACTCATTCCCTCTCCCCTCTCCCTCTCGGTCGCTGACTCCCTCTCCCCTCACCCTCTCGCTCACTCATTCCCTCTCCTCTCCCTCTCGCTCACTTACTCTCTCTCCCTTCTCCCTCTCGCTGACTTACTCTCTCTCCTTTTTCCCTCTCGCTCACTCATTCCCTCTCCTCTCCCTCTCGCTCACCCACTCCCTTTCTCCTCTCCTTCTCACTCACTTACTCCCTCTCTTCTCTTCCTCTCGCTCACTCACTCCCTCTCTCCTCTCCCTCCCGCTCACTCACTCCCTCTCTCCTCTCGCTCACTCACACCCTCTCTCCTCTCCCTCTCGCTCAATCACTCCCTCCCTCTCTCCTCTCCCTCTCTCTCTCTCTCACTCTCTTTCTCCTCTCCCTCACTTTTCTCTCTTCCCTGGCTCTCTCGCACCAGTCCGGACCGTTTCCAGTCTGGGAGTCGGTAAAACACGCCGCCGATCAGTGCCGTTCGCAGATGGCCGCACAGATACGCGGTCGGTCCGCCGGCGGCCCGCCCGGCCGGCCCCTCAAATCACCGTGACGTCACGGCCAAATTGATGGCGCGCTGATGAGCACCGTTTACGACGGGGACGCCTATTGAGCCCGGAGGAGCGCGTCCGAAGCCACGGACACCTGTTCCGCCGGGCGGGACCGCGCACCACCGGGTGCCAGGACCACGGGAAAACGGACCACGAGACGGGAGACTGCGCCCTGGGACCGCGATAGAATAGGCCACCGAACGAACCACCGGACGGGAGACTGCGTCCAGAGACCTCGGCAGAATAGGCCACCGGACGGGCCGCCGAGTCTCTGGACCACGGGGGAATGGACCACCGGGCGGACCACTGGCACCTGGGATCTAGACAGAATAGACCAATGGATGGACCACCGGGTCCCTTATCCACATGAGAACGGACCACGCTGAACGGGCCGCCGGGTCTCTGGTCCACGGTAGAACGGACTAAAGAACGGGTCACTAGGTCCTGAGAAAACGGAAAAGCGGACCCCCGAACGGGCCGCTGACAGGGTCACCACCGACCGCGCTCTCGGGTCCCGTGCACCAAGTCATGTATTCATCAAGGGCCTGGTCACCGAGTAGAGCACTGGTACTGCTTGGTGCTGGTTGGAGCATAAGGCCAA